TTAACAGATTCCTGCTGTGTGTTTCAGCTACGCCCTGGCGGACGAGGCCTACCGGTCCCTGCGAGATCAAGACAAGGACCAGTGCATCCTGATCACTGGAGAGAGCGGAGCAGGGAAGACAGGTACCGAAACGCCCGGCCACTCTCGCCTCCTCCTCTTCTGTCGGGGCTGAGCTCAAATCCCGTCTTTCTGTCCCAGTTCACTTCTGCGATTAAATGGATTTAGCAACATAAGAACAATTACTAAAAGACCACGCCATTGGGTCCATCCGGCTTATTTGATTTTTTTTATATAGCTAATTAATCTGAGGATCTCATCCATCTTGTTGCAGACTCCCACAACCCTTTGTGTAAAGAAGTTGTCCCGCTGTATTAAATGCCCTTCATGCTTCCAGTCCAGCTTTCTGGTTTGTGTTTCACTGTTGTTTCATAGGAAGGGAAATAGATTTGGAATTGGGCTGGAAATCGATTTTTAAGATTGATTTAATTTGTTTATGTTAATCAACCAAACAAACTGAGGCATGAGAACAGGAATTGACCCTTTTCCCTGCTGTATTTTTTTGGTTTTGCATTTGTTTTATGTCTTCAGCCAGGCTTGTAGGGGAAGTAAGACATCAAAAATGATGTGCTTTTATGATACAGATAAGAAATCGTTGCTGTATGTCCTGACACCAGTGTGCTGCAGTGCTCTACCCTGATTTTCCCCATCCCTTCTAGAGTTTCAACAACCCATTAACATTTCTGTTAAGTTACTTTTTTTAAAGTGTGTTGAAATAATTCCATTGTGTTTTATTACCTCCTGTCCTGCTGTTTCTAAGAATACAGCCACCTCCGCACATGTGCATGAAGAGAGAACTGGTATTTACGTACCGCCAGCTTCCCGTTTTTAGAACTTGGCCGGTGATGTTAACTGCAGGTGAGGGCCACATGTCTGGGCCTGAGTGAGATGCACTGACTGCTGGGAGCCATCCTGGTTTAAAGAGCTGTCCGCCTTCTTCCTCGGTACGGAGGCCTCATATCTGTGTCTCTGCTGGACGGCTCCGCCTGCCGTCCTCTCTGAATCGCAGCTCCCTGCAGAGCGCTGGCCCTGCTGCCCTCGGAGCCCTGCTGCGGGTCCTCTTCCTCAACCCCATAAAGAAATGAGAAACAGCCCTGCTGTAGCAGCATTGCAGTCAACTCCAACTTTCACTTATACATGGTGTAGAAGCCCTTTTAGAATGATTTTTTCCCCATATACTCTCACAAAACTGCCTGAAGAGTTCTATATACAATGGCTATTAAAAAAACAAGTTAAGAGTAAAAGCTAAGCCCTTTGTCAGACACTTAAGAGCTGCGCTGTGCAGTCTGCTTGTGTCGTATGGAGTAAATACCCTGATGCACTTTTTGTATGATCTCACTGTTTAACTTCACTCCATCCGCGCTGACAGTGGCTTTTATGGCAGGTCTGGGCAGAGACTTTGGCCCCGTGCTCTCCGCCACACCGCCTGTACCTAAATCTAAAGTTCCAGGGCGGCCCTGTCTAGCACAGAGAGCCTAGAAGGCAAAGACTGATTCGCTGAAGCTCCAGTCTTCCAGCAGGCGTCTTAATATCTGAACTATGTGATTTACAAGTGGAGCTGCCATATGAGCTCATTAAATGTGCCTCAGGCTTTCTAAGCAGCTGTAATACATGTAGATACCTGCAGCTTTAAACAAGTGCAAGACGTCAGCAGAACAAACTCTGCCGATTTTGTTATGCAGGTATGGGCCTCCAGATCCTCCTACCAGCCACCGTCTTGACCTTCAGCAAGGCTGGAGCCTTCTAAACTTATGTTCTTCTAAATAATCAAAGATGATTTGGTTTGGCAAGGACGATGTCAAATAAGTCGAGGTTTTGCTGCACCGTAGTTACACTGATGTCACACCCATGAGCACATGGCTCTTCACTCCTGCTGTGCAGACTGCCAGTCCGCTCCAGTGAGAAGTTTCTGTGCTCGGTGATCCAGGCCGCGACTGTTTAATTTGAGCCTGAACTGATGCATGCTGGGAGCCACCCGAAATCTGTTCCTCACCGTAGGATCACAACTGTCAGCGTAGCAT